CCAGCTCAAGTTTAAGTTCTTAATTCCCTAGGTAAATTCAGACCCATGTGTAATTTTCCAGGAAGCATCAAAAGATGTTTCAACAAATATGCTGGCCTAGTATACCGGGCTAACAAGATCGTCCTCGCTGCGAAGCCAGCTTGACATAGCCACCTCAGGGATCACGGCTGTGGTTTACTTTGAGCAGAGAAACCGAGCTTACCATAACACAGTATTTTGTTCGTAGATTTCATGGATGGGCTGGGAGTTTTCGGCATGTGTGCACTGGTAACCAAGGATTCCGTACTGAGTTAGAGCAAAATTGAGGGTTGTCCAAGTTGCCATTTTATTCTTTGATGTTCTGATAGCTGCGTAAAATTTTGTAACACATTTATTCTGTTGTTATAATGTACATGTAGGCCAGCCATAGTTTTTCCATCCATGGGTGGGCAAAAACATGCCTGCGACTTCGATCAGATCCTATTTTTTTAATAATTTGGGTATGGTTTGTCATATACCAAACCAGCAAAGAACCGTACCCACGTGTAACACAGCAAAAATAGGCCATCAAGAACCGACAAGAATTCTGACAACTTTCTGCACTCACGCAGCCCAGAGACTGAAGGTTTTGCCCAAGATGACATCACATTGCTGCTCATGAATATGGAAATTCACATCTCAGCATAAAAACCTGGAGGTCCAGAAACATCCTTAGAAACAGTGATACCTGTTTGAAAACTATAAATAAGGGCAGATGGTACTCAAAGGTGCATTTTAATAATTTTGATTAATTAATTAAGACTTGTATGTTTGTGTGTTTGACATGAACAATGTACCAGTATGGAAGGTTTGAGGTTACACCATGGAAGCTATTCTGTTTTGTGAGTTTGTGTGGTGCTGAGAATTCACAAAAGAGAATACACATATCTCCCATGGTGCTATTGCAAACCTTCCCAACCAGGGGTGAGATTTCTCAGCTTTTCAGTTGATTTCAGCTTTTTTGTTTCGGATTTCAGCTTTTTTCCTCACTGGCTGTGTACAAAAGTCTAGGAGATTTTCACAGTTCCGCTTCTTTATGCCTTTTCTCAGCTGTTTTCAGCTAAGTTTATCATTGGTCAATCTCACCGATGTCCCAACTGAAAAAGCCTGAATGGACGAACTCTTTAAGTTGGACTGAATGTTATTACAGTGTCTTGTGTAGATGTACATGTACATGCACTGTATGCACAGCAGGTACACAGTGCCCCTTTGGCGTTTACTTGTACCGTCCTTCTTTTGTCCAAGCAGGCCCCGTGCCTCTCCAGTATTCTCCATGTCTCTGAAACTGCATTTGACAGCAATTCCGCCACAATTGGATTACCCTTTTTTCAGTCTACTTTCAGCCTACCCTCCCCCCATTTATTTCAAATGAGACGGGCTGAGGTGTTGAGGGAATTCACTTGTCTCCTTAAAGTGCTGTTTTCTTTGTTCTTTTTTGATTGTAGGCATTTAAGGGATGGATTGTTTTTTCCTCTTTTTTAAAAACGTTTGTTTGCTAGTAGCAGAATCAATTTTGGTCCTTAGTGAGCTAATATCTACGGAACGACATCGGGAGGGTTAATTAATGAAAAAGGGCGAGGATGTCTCCAGGAGACAGAGTGAATGAAAGACGTAGGAAGTTCTTGTCAGGACGAGGGAGGGATGCCAGATATTAAAGGACAAGTGACGCAATATACCAAAGGCAAGGAAGATTTGGGGATGAGATACGGGAAAGGAAGAGGAAAGAAAGAGGCAAAAGCTGAACAAAGTTTTCTTTTAGTGCTGCTTCTGCTGCCTGAACGGTGTCACGCTAAGTTGACAACCTTTTTTGTGCACATGAAAATAGTGTTGAAATGTATTGGTTGCTTTCATTGTTGCATTCTGTTCTGTTTTGAAGGGGAGCAGGTGCCCCTTTTTGATATGTACACAATAGTACAAGTTATAAATATCGGTAATTTGCTTTCAGCACTTAAAAAAAAACCAAGATGTCCACATCCTGGTCGCGCTCCTAGAAATTTTTCTTTAATTATGCTACTGTCTTTTCTGCTCTCATCCCGTTGGCCTGGTTATGTTCCTCCAACATGGAAGAGAGATGGGCTCCTCTCTCACTAAAATGTTCATTTGTCTGACCTTTGATAATATTAAATGAAATATGTAATGCTTTCTGATTTATGCACGCAGAAGAAATAAGCCAATTAGGCAAACTGCAGGGAATACAGAATGGTCAAGGTGCATAGCTTCCAGGGCATCACCTGTCCTAACAAATACGCATGAGAGTGGGTCACCAGCCTATCACTCCAAGAGGCCTTGCTTGCAGCCTTGCATAGCCTTCTGCAGGTAACCCGCATATAGCACACATTCCTATCCAACTCTGGCATCGTTCGTGATCTGACCCAAGAAAACATCATTGGCTCGTCTGTGCACTTGGCCGTGACGACTTAATAGAGGAGTTATTCGTTTTTAGCCCTTGTTTGACCCAACAGTTTCGTTGCCAAGGAGGGCCACAGAGAGCAGATGAAATAAAGATTCCCAAATATTATTGGAATAATGTGAATTGGAAATGTCCGAAAACGTCTTTTGTATGGAATACCCATTGCCATGGAAATCACCAGCATCTGTTGAATGCAGCTATTGATTAGTCACCGCAGGCCACACTCAATTTTCAGGAAATGACTGGACACGGAAGTGAGGAACGAGCCAAGAATAAATGCCGATTGGCAGCAAAGAGTAATGGGCTCACGGAGGGTAACGATGCGGGAAGAATCAAATGCCGAAATCCATAAAAATGCTGCTGGGGGGTCAAGAACGTGCCATGGCTGATGAGATGAGAATTGACCGGCTCGACTCCGGCCATGCAGAAAAACTGAATGATACATGTCTGCCGTTATCCACTTACGTTTGCTCGATTTATCAGCCATCCTGAGTTACGTCCCCCAGACATCCTGCCATCCCGTCCTGACTGTCTCCCCCATCGATGTCTTCTTTGTCTTGCAACCATTTCAGATTTTAATTTTCTCGCTTCCCTCCATCCCGTTCTTTCTCTCCCCCCTCTCTCTCTCTCTCTTTTTCTCTCTCTTGGCATCGTGTGAGTTGACCGTAAATGGACAGCTGATATCATCCTGAAAATTGCATTAGGCATTCGAAGATTCTCACCTTGGTTGGCTTTGGCTCACAGTATCAGGTGTTAACTCATACTGTTGCCTTGTCAGAATAGTCGGCATTCATTGGCTTAGATTTACAGCACATTGGGGTATTGAGTTGTCTCATGAGTGCTCTCCATGTCTGCACCATATATTATTATTGTTATTTTTCTTTTTGCACCCTTCCTTCCCTCCGTGAAAATGGAATTTTTTCTTTGTCCCGTTTGGAATTCTGTTGTGTCCTTTTAGACCTGTGTGGGTTCAGGTAGCAGTCTCATCAAGAATATCTAGGACGTAAGAATGAAGAGTTGTCTTGGCTTGTGGAAAATTCTCAATATTTGAAGGCAACAGACCTCCTATTATTCTCCTGAGCGTTTTGGTCTTACTTGACTAGTACCTTCCATCCTGCAGGAAACTCCATTTTATATTCATGTCACGTAAACTTTCAAACCCCCATCTTAGGAAGTAATCCCTGCAAGTCCCTGATGGATTTTGTGAGAGGATTGAAGTTAATATTACCTTGCATTTGTAAAATTTCTTTTGATTTGTTGTGAAAAAGGTTAACATATGATTAAAGTTTCTCTAATTCTCTTGCAAGTACTCAGGAAAAAAAGGCACATAAAGATGTGTTTCTGTTTAGTTGACAAAGCAGTAACAGTTTTGGAAATCTAGTGACTGTGACAACTGAGGGGATTTTTTTTTGTCTGTGTGATAAAAATTCATGAAGTGGTCTTTATGAGTCTGTTGATTTCACTGCCAATCATCTTTGGGGGCATTTTATGCAATCAAATTTCTTCACCTTGCCAAATCCCTCCCCCTCCCAGATTATCATCAAACCGAACAAAGGCAAGGTTTCCGAGCAGGGATTTCACTTTAAACGTAGCCATTTCCCCTGGTGTGTTTTGCCGCATGTGGCGAATAGTATCAGGAAAAAAAGTCCCACACGTACACGTACACAAATTATGAAACCTCACTTTTGTGTCATTTAGATGCAAAACAGTTTGTGTAGTGCAGTTCTGCTGTCTTGGGAGACTTGTATTTATGAAATAAGAGGCACAAGATGTTTTAAGTGATGTTTATGTATTCCTTAAGTGAGTTGGAAAAGTAAGCAGGGACATCCAGATTTATGAAGCAATTGTTGGTGTTTATGAGCTAAATGTGAGAGTAGGCAGCATGGGGTGTTTAGTGCTGCTTAAATAACCTCAGTTCAGAGTGACATGTGAATATGAAAATCTGCATTTTCCTGATGCAACAATTTTGTCCAATTTTATCGGTAGCAATCACTGATTGCATTGATACCTGCTGTTATGTTAGATATTCAGACCAGTTACCTGACTGGGGCAAGTGGTCCATTGGTTGAGTGGTGAAGATGTTTTCATTAATAGGCAAGATGTGGGTTCGAGAAACTCCTCGTTAAGCTTGTTACCCTTTCTAATGCACTTCTCAGACAGCACTGCTCTGAGAATATTCTCAGTGCGCTGAGCATATTCAGTGTTTGGTGTTCAAGATTGGCAAAAGCCCAAGATTTTCTGAATAACCACCCCAAATATTCCAGTTCAGGAGTATTAATGTTTTGGTATTTTGCACTGAGTTTAAGCCCTGAACCTCTCAAATCCTCCAAAAAATTCACCGGAGCATTGGGGAGATGTTGTAAAATTGAGGAAGGTAGATGCCAACCGCTGTTAAATTTACATGGTGCTTGATGCCCCTTTATGGTACACAAATGTAGGCTTTATTTCCTGCACAGTGGAGGATTTTTAGTAATTCAGAGAGGTTCGTGACACAAGTCTGCAGAAATATCTGGGAAGTTCATTTGCCTGTGGGGTTGATAAAGTGCCTTGTCTTTGACCAACATCCTGGCAGCTGGAAAAGAACGACCACGTGGCCTTTGATGCCTCAAGTACGAGGGAACGGAGGACGGAAGAAGACATGTTTGAAGAGGCAATACGACTGCGGAAGCTCTTCCCTGAAATGTACACCAAGGACCTCTGACATTCAGGTAAAGTCAAGCCGATGGATAGTTATCTTTTAGGGGAATCCAAGAGACTCAGCGTAGGAGCCCTGAGATAGGTGGGGTAGATGTACCTAGTTTCTCCTTGTGACTTTGGGAACATTTCTGGAAACCTTTATGCCTGTCTCGACATGCAGTGTGGCTGTTACTTCAGTTCCCTTCCATCCAAAGTTCAACCCATCATGAGCCTTGGAGGCTCCTGTATTTGCCGTCTTCTCGTTTGCTACATTGGATCTGTTATTTAACAGTGCAGCCAACCTTGGGATGAGCTAGGACCTGTAATTAATGATCCGACAGTTGGTTCACTATTCCACGTAGTGTAGTTGTGATCTGGAACAGTGCACTTGAATTGCATTTTAAGTTGTGCAAAATGAGCTGATCTGTTGTTGACGAGATTTCAATGATCCAGCTTTTAGGCCAACTGTTGTAACCAGACGTGTACATGTACATGTGTGCAGTCCTTTGATGATGCTGCTTGCAGACTCATGACCTCATACAAGTCTGGTAAAGTCTTACGTCATGTCCTAAGCAAGGCAGGAGGGTGGCAGTTGTTCGGGGGAGGGGGGGATGTCTTGAGCGTCACCAAATTTCAATTCTTCAAGACATCTAAAGCTATAATCAAAGCATCTTTTTCCTGTTTTTTTTTGCCGAAGCCAGTATTTCCCCAATTTTTTAAAACCTTTTTGAAAATATTTACAATTCCGTTCCCCCCCAGGGAGAAATCCCGTATTTTTTTCTGTTCAAAACTTAGGTTCTGAAAAGTTAATCCATGTTAGATCAGACTTTGTGAAATCCTCCCCTAACTCATTCTCATTCTAAAACCATGTCTGGCACATGACCCCCTCCCCCCGTGAGAAAGCTTGCATGTTTGCTGTGTGGATGGTAAATATCCTGATTGCCATGCATGTTCATTGCAATTTTTAGACTGTTTTTATTTTAATTCATCACACGTCAGAGTTTGTAGGTTTTGTTTCTTCCGACCATCTGTCAACGTTTCATTCATGCCTACAACCTCGTCTGATTCACTGCAGGTCGTGACCTTCCGGTAGATGCACTCCTGTGCAGACAGATCCATTATCTCCCCAATCTGACGCAGGCCAAGGCAACTTCAGAATTTATGTCGCAACCGTTGGTACCCAGCCTGACCTCCCTTCTTTGCTGTGTCATGTGAAAAGACACCAGTAGGCGACTCAGTCACTATGTTACACCCCTCATGGTTTGGCGCGCTCCTTCACTATTGCATCGTATATCCATGGACAAGTGCTGCTGGAAGCAAAAATGATACTCTCTTGCCAAGGAGTCTCGGATCTGGAAGGACATAACAACACAAGTGGATTATGCCCTCGACTCGTGTGCTCTTTGATGCAATAAGCTTGGCTTTGCCAAAGCGTGACTGAAGTGGTAAAAACTCCTTGTGAATGAATTCATGTATTGTCTTTGACATGTGTAGATCTTTTCATGTTGGTAAATTTCAGGCATATGATGACTGTACATTAAGAAGGCCCCCAGCAATGGCGGGAGCACCGTGGATAGTATACAATGTTGATGAGTGCAGTCATGAGAATAATTTCATGGTGTGACAGGTGTGACAAGGCTAAGCCAAGTGGAATGGAATATACCATTTGTTAAAGAATGAAATATTTGTTTCCATTCCACGAATGTAAACCATTCTTATTTGTTATATGTAGTGCCTGCATAAATCCCTGTATCACCCTCCAGTCTAGAGATTTAGTATGAAAGGGCTAAAATGGAACTACCATTTCTAGGTGGAATGGAACTTCTGGGTATGTTGTACAGCCTTGTCATGTGTTCAAATTGTTGGATGGCATGTGATTTACATTTTACTGCATTGCATTTTGATTTATGACTGACATACAAAAAAAATCCATCATACAATGTTTGCAGTGTCACAGTCTGTGTTAATTTCTCATGTACGTACTGGCCGTGGCTCACTGGATCAGTATATTCTCCAAGAGCCCCCAAGTTGTTCGGATGAGCACTTCACACCCGAGGACATGTCAACGCGATCTGTGTACACAGACGCAGCTGATGGGTTAAAACGTTAAAGCGCACCTTGACTTACCTGTACTCCGGCTGACATCTGAACGTGCTCGTCCTCTGTGTTCTGTTCTCGCATGCAAAAATCCAGAAGTCAGTGGAGGTGGGCTGTGTTGAACTTAAACTTGGCTGCTGTTGTAGCAGATATTGGTGTGTGGGTGAGCCCTGGAGTGTTGAAAAATGTGAAGTTGCGATAAGACATATCAGGCAAGTACTGTCCGTGGCGTTTGGCTGCGCGTCAAAACTTGGTCGCAATATTTTGCCTCTTAGGCCAAAACTAACACCGTGGGCAAGCGAGTAAAGCATCAATTTTGTCCTGGTTTGAATTTCTGTAGAGAATACAAGGGGAATTTTATTGTGAAGCTGTTAGGTGTCCAAAGTCACTCAGCAGTAAAAGATTTTGCTGAGTAAAAGAGAACAGGTCTCTGGCCAAATTGTCCTGCAGTATTCGGGAGTAGTGATTGGTGTGCAGGTTGCAGATTTGCTTCTTGGTATTTCCTGATGAGAGAAGCCTCACAAATGGGGGGGGACAGGATTTGATTTTTAAAAATACAGAACAAAAATAGCCTAAAACAAAGCTGTTTTCTTTCCAGCACAGGCACGAGGATGCATTTCCGGTCGTGGTTTTCATGGCAGATTTATTGCTCCAAAGACACAGGAAACGAAAGGGCATGTACATTGCCAGATGCAACCACTCATTGGTTCAGACATCCTTTTAATAGCTCTGTGCTGTACAGAACATGTTTTTCATGGCCGGAAGCCAGTATTTCAACCACCTCAGATTTGTTCCCAGAAATTTCTCTGACACTTAAGTTTTTGCAAATCAACATATGTCAGTGCAACTTACCAGATATGATATGCACAAGAGAATTCTGCACCTTTGTGTGGTCATTGACTCTTGCTTGGCAATTGACCAGTTCCTGAGAGTAATTGACGCTGAATGGCTTGTTGAAAGCTTTGTATGTCTTAGTTATTCCCGTAGTTCGCACTTTAACACGTTCAGTCGTGATCTCATGCAGCGACCGAATACGGTCGAGTTTCCACACGTCGCCTCAAACCACGTGCATAAGGAGATCAGCTTCCCCCGGCTTCTCGTATCAAATTCATCTTACCTTTCCCCTGTTGAATTTCATTCCCACTGCAAGTGGACCCTTGTAAATGCCCTGCACATCGTGAGACAGGGAGGTACATGTATCTGTTTCTCCAGTCTTTTTATGGAGTGTACCAAACAAAAATATTTACATGTCTGCGACATGCCATAGTCTTTACCTGTTGAGTCAGTGTACGGTTTGTTGGTAGAAGTTGCTCGGTAAAAATGAACTTTTCTGGTGGGAATGTCAACTGAGCATTTGCAATGTGGTTCCTGTTTTTACAGTTCTTTTGAATCCTGGAACTAGTCGCAATATGTGTTCACTCATACCGGTATTTTAAAGTCCTCCTTTGCTCGTTGCGCAAATTTGATGTTCTTCTTCACACGCTGAGTACAGAACCAGTGCTTACTTGGTGCACATGCATCAATATTTGAAATTTCTACGGGATGAATAATATACGATGTGCCATCAGGAAGTTGAGCCAGGAATCAGTGTGCGACAGTTCTGCTTTCTAGAGCGACATGTGTGTCAAAGACAATTGAGGCAGCACATTCATTTTACCCCAGTGCCTGAGGGGACTGTATTTTGTATTACTGGCCAGTGGGCTGTATAAAAATTTTACTTTTGCTGAAGCTTGCAACATTTTCTGCTCCTTTTATCTTGTTGCTTTTTTGTGTCACCATTGCAACTTGCGCACAAAAACTGTGAAGTCTTGTACTGTACGCGTCACTAAGCTTGTTATAAACTTGTTTTATTTGACAACCATCCTTTTTTTCAGAATTTTTTCCCTTTTCATCTGATGAGGGAATAAAATTTAATCTTTTTTAATGTGCTTCATTACACTATTTTTTTTAAATTCAGGATAACAAAGTGCATGTCTGTGAAGGAAAAGGCTGTATGGCCTGAGAATACCGATATTGTCAAAATATTTATTGTACAGTGTATACCCATTGCTTTGTGGGAAAAATGTGATGGATGCATTGTAGAGTTAATGCACAGCATGATTATAAATGTTTTATGGAACATAACAGGTCTAGAAATTTTGGGGGTTTGTTTGTTTACTGTAGTTTTTGTTCAAACGGTTTCGTATTTTTCAAACTGCTGCCATGGTAACTTCAACATTTAGTGGATGTCATTGAGAAAACAAAGAAAAGTTTAAGCTGCTGACACTCTAAGTTCCGCGATAATGACTAGGCTTTTGGAAGCGATTTGTTTAAACTTGTTTTTTTTTCTAAAATTTTCTTCAATCTTATGGCAACCATTAGTGGATATCGGTGAGCATATTCAGGGAACAAATATGTGCTTGGCCAGTCATAAATGTGTGTTAAAGACCGACTCAGGAGAATGGATGAGGGCATTATCAGCATTTATATGGCCACATATTGTGCCAAGTTACATGTATTTGGGGGGGGGAGTCACACAGGATAAATACTGTTCATCAGTTCACTTACCATGTGTAGTCAAGAAGTTTGGCTCCAAATTATCAGGTGTGAATCCAGAGGTTAGTTTTCCCACAAAATTAGATCATTAAGACACTCATTTAGATACAAGACAATTGAGGGAACACAGTTGCATCATGTTACTCCAGTCTTTTAACATCTACTTTTTCTTCATCCTGGTTTATGCTATCATTCATGTGCCACCGTGACTTTCCTTCCACGAGCATCTCGTGTTGCTCTTAATTCTCCAGTTCCCCCCCCCCTTCCCTTGGCTGTGCTGCTGCAAATTGAATGCCACATTGTACCAGTACTGAAGACCTACGTAGTTTGATAATTGCACTGTGCTTCAGTGTTGATGAGTTCTTCTTTACAGTATCCCCTCTTTGGCAAAGGAGAGGGGGGCTGGACCAAACTGGGCAACCAGAGACCTTGATCCAGACCGGCGTACAGTGAAATTTTATGGCCCTTTTGGTGGAGATGATTTATGATGCCATTTTTTTTTCACACAAATTCTGTTTCAATTTGCCTTAAGAGTCTGAAAAGAGCAAGCTACATGTAGGTTTCCAGTTTTGATGCATCACATATTTTGGCATGCCAATGAAAATGGACATTGTGTGGGTGAAAATGTTGATGGTTCCCATTGATTTGTGCAGAGGGCTGTCATGCAGAAGTGACTCTCTAGCGACTTGGGACTCATTTCCAGAGCGGGTTGCATTTCCTGTACACTCTTGGCACCATACATGGATGTTTGTGAACCATAGAGTTACCAGTGGGGCATTTCAAAGCCGCAGAGGTCTTACGACCGTAAGATATAGTGATGCATAACAGTGTTGTAGTTGAGTCCATCACAAGTCCTTTCACAAGTCCAGTCACAAG